CACGACGATGAAAGAGACGCGAGCAGAGAGGCAGAAAGGAGAGATAACAAAGTGCGGTTAAATAAAAATGTTGAAGAACTCAAAGTTTATAAAAAACGAACAGAATCAATCTATGAATGTTTATTATTATTAGTTTTTTTCAAAATTAAATTATTACACTTGAATTCACTGAACGCTCCAATGATTCAGTCTACACGTAGACTGGTTAAAGATCAAGAACATGGAGTGTATGAAAAACAAATGACGAAGTGATTTTATAGATAGATGACAGGAGGGAGGATGACTTTAAAATGAATGTTTTCACATATATATGGTGAAGGTTACTTATAGATTATTGCTAGTAAGTAATCCATCCTTTTCAGATCTTTAGATGACATTACGGACCAAGCAGTCGACTGGGAAACGATGTGTTTGATGTCCGAGGGTGACATGCAGAAAATGATGTGCAGAGGAAACGGAAACTCGAGGAGAGTCGTGAAGCAAATTAAAAGTGATGGCGTACACACATAAGGAAATTATGTATACCTTATATGGAAATTGTCATTTGCACAGATCTTCTGTGTTATGTTATTTATGGCCTTCGTATTGTGTTTATTTGTCTTCTTTTCGTGTCTCGCATGTTTTCCTGCGTTACTGGTTTATTTCCCCTCTTTAACTTCAAATCTATCATTACACTATCTGATATTTATGTGTGCCAATGAATGTCTCTTTATATACTACTGATAAATCTTGTCAGTAGCTCACGCCACAATGGTATAGAATCGCATGCAGTAGAAATGTGTCACAGCGGCCTTATGTTTCACTTAGAACTCAAGGAATGATTAACAGTAATAATTATTATTTTGCATCACTTAACAGAACGTTCACTGATTTACAGACGTGGTAAGCAGTACTTTATAGTTAATCAAATCGAGTGTTAGTTAGAGAATAGTTATAGGCGTAATCTAGTTGAGTAGAATTTGTCAAATATTGCCTTGGTAAGTAAAAGATAAACTGCCTGATTTCGCTTCTTCTGTGTGAATCTACCAATTTGACTGCTCCTGTGTAGCCAGTTACATACGCTGTTTTAATAATCCTCGATTTTTTGTGGAAATTTCCTTAATTTTAATTGATATTCTATTTGCTATTACATTTCGATGCTGATTATAATTTAAGCGTCTTTAGTGGACTGTAATTCCATTGATCTTAATTAACAAATCGATAGTATTTAAAAAAACCAATATTGTTAATGATCAATATTCTAGGATATTCTATGTGTATAGACATATGTATAATTGTAGAGTCAGAAGAGGAAATTATTGAAAAGGATATTCTTTGATCAGTTTGTTTTCTAAATTATTATCTTTCGGAAAACAGTCGGAATCCCAGGAAAGGTTATTGCATTCGACAGCGATATGTATGCATCCATAAACTCGTACAGAGTTGAGTCTAGAATCATCTAAGTCGTCGAAATCAGAAAGCTCAAGTAGTATCTAGTAGTGCACGGTTCTAAATTTCCCACAATTTCCACCATCATTCAATATCATCATTGATTTTATCTCTTGATTATCAGTTTAGATGATCTGATTAGAAGTACCTTACTAAGAACAGATCTTTTATATACAGGACCATGAGCATAATTTATTGTGTGAACACCGGTGATATTACCTAGCTGTTGGTTTGACTGACTGACCGGTACCAACATAGAACTTTGCACAGAAGTGCAGCCGTTCGAGTTGCCACTCTCACTCCGTGAAGCACACAAAGGAAGGCAGAAGAGGAAAAAAGAAACTAAGAAGAACGATAGTTAGCAGAAATGTGAAGAAGAAAAAAGAATAGTAACTTGGAAAAATAATAGGGTTCTTTTGGATATTAGTAGATCACAGAGAATGAATGCATTTGTACCATTGATAATCACTTTGAGCCATATCACCAATTGTATGCAGCCGATGGTTTATAGCATCCCAAGGACCCTAACTAGATAGTCTACATCTCCCTATGTTTCTTAAACTAACAGAGTCACAGGGACCAATGTCATGTTGTGGTTTCACTACGACTAGTTCTTTCCCAACCTAATGCTATGTCAGCTAACAATGCCCTTTGAGGTAGGCGGTGGCTAGGTATGCTTAACACATGTTCTAGGCATTTCAATCGATGTGGCTTCTCAACCTCATCGATAGATTCTTCCTCTTTATCTAGCACTCGACGCCTAACCTCAGAATAATTCACCATACAATACTAGCTAATACGGCAGATAGAACGCAAACATATGTGGTCAAGAACAACTAACCTCTCCCCATTTTCCACTTTCAATGGCCATTTGTCACAACCATAAAGGAAGATGGAGCAAACTGCTACTCATTATACACTTTCTTTGATAAATATCCGGATATAACGTTTACGCCAGAGGTGATACACAAGCATTTTGGATCCGTGCTGAGATTTCGTCAGAAATCAGTTCGTTGGGGCTGATGCAACTTCTCGAATAAGTAACATGGTTGACAATATCTACCGTTGCACAACTTATTTTGAAACTAGGGATCTATGTAGTTCAATCCTGTAGCATCATCTTACATTCGACAGGAACGAGTCGTATGCCGAAAATTTGAAGATTACTCCTGAAGATGTTCAGGAAGAAATTCCATATTAGTTTGTTTATTAGATATATCACACAGTGAAACAGTATTATTTACTGGATGACGTTTCGAACAAAATTTATTGTTCATAAAAGTGGCATTCACACCCACAAACTAAATTAGAAACAAGCTTTGTCAGTTAAAGGATCCTGACAGTGGAGCCTTAAAAACAAAACAATTTAGTTTATCCAATACCCTGCTGGAATGACTGTCAGATCAAATACATAGGTCAAACTAGTAGAACAGGGGCAGTAAGACTAAGTGAACATAAAAACCTAGCAAAATCTAGATTGGTTGACTCAAATAAGATAAGAAATCTAGAGAACAGTTCAGCTATACCACTCACTACATGCAATTACACACAACCATACAATAGGACTGGCGGGATAAGGTGACAGTTTTAAAATCTAATGTCACAGGGTGGAGGGAGAGATTGATAACAGAAGCTTTGTTTATCGAATCAACTGCAAATACATGTAATAGGAATGATTCAACACCTGTCCACCCAGATATCTGGAAAATTCTACTACCCCAACGACGATAAATAGGAGAAGACAAAGAAAACTATAAAACTCAAGTTTCAAAGTTGTGTGATTACAATTGATATGATTATGAACAATAAATTTTGTTCGAAACTGTGTCATCCAGTAAGTAATAACTGTTTCACTGTGTGATACATCTAATAAACAAACTAATATGGAATGTTCAGGAAGCATTGCGTTTTATCAGCGTCTTTACCTAGGACGATTATATTATCCGCATATTCGAATTCAACAGAACTGGTTGCTTCGGTTGACTTTGGTGAAAATTGAGTGTTAACGCTTTAGATGAACTCATTAGTTAAGTTTTTGTTTAGGGACTTCGAAAAATGTATCTCTTATCTAGTCAATGACACTTAATTATTGTTTAGTTGGTAAACGTTGGGTTCGGGGGTGGTTGGATTTAATGATTTCGGGTTGGCTTTCATCAGGAATTAAGTGTTTTATTGAGAATAGTCGTATACAGTTGATTATCTTATGATTCAGTTATGATGTTGATCCCATTCTTCTTATTTAGTTGCATTAATTAAATATTAAAATAAGCAAAATTTGAACGGATATGAAGGAATATGATTCTTGACTGATTAACATACGGCTATCAACCAAGGGACGTGTGTACTGCTCACCAGTTCGCTCCGTCCTTCTCTATGGCTCTGAAACATGGCCAATACGAGTTGAAGACATGAAAAGGTTGACTGTTTTTGATCATAGATGTCTACGATCTCATTCTCACGTTAGGTGGTATAATAAGGTAAGTAATGTTGACGTTAGGCGTAGAGTGTTGGGCAAGGAGGGAAAATCAGTCGAAGAGGCTATAAACTTACATAGATTGAGATGGCTAGGTCACGTGCTGCGCATGCCTAACCATCGCCTCCCCCGACGGGCATTACTAGCTGATATAGGTGCAGGTTGGAGAAGAGTAAGTGGTGGCCAAACAAAAACATGGCATCAATCCATGAAATCCTTGACAGTTAAACCGAGTCAGGTAGGGAGATGCAGACTTCCGGGTTGGAGCCCGCCATCGGGACTCTAAGAATCAATGGCTGGAGACAATAGGTGACATGGCTGAAAATCGTTGTCAATGGCTTACGCAGATGTATTCAGTCTCTGTAATCTTTCATATTCCTTTCTACTATTACTCATTCTGTTTCACTCTTATACTTGTCAAAACTCTATTGATTCTCTTCACTCATTTTCTTGTCTACCTTCTATGCTATTTGGAACATGGTAACTCGAACTGCTGCACTTCGGTGCCAAGTTCTATGGTGAATCCAGACAGACAGACAGACAGAACAGCTGGTAAATAGTGGTGATCCAGCCGAAAATCAGTAATGTACAACATATCTTCTTAGCTTAACGGGAGGCATCATCAAACTATATTACAATGTCGGCTGAGTGTGAAGGTCACTATTAGCTGACTGATGCCAAAATCAGCTGATTCCATGTTGTTGTCTTACATTGTCTTTCTTGGTAGTTTTTTTCCCGTCAACTGAAGTGTGTTTTAGGAGATTATTCAACAACAATGTTAGTCCTCTCACCCTGTCAACCAAATCTAAGACTCTAAGATAACCAGGTAAGCATAGCATTAATTAACTACTGGATGGAAATCAGATAATTCATGAGTTCCAACTTTTGCCAATTCACATTTACCTTTATATCCATCGGTTGTCATTATCATTCAACTTGGTGGTTCTAATCGATAAATGCTTCTCGCCGGAACTCCAGGAATCCCATCCTACAGTCAGTGATGAGAGTGAAAACATCACCAACAGGAACAAATGCTACGGTAATAAGTACAACTAATCGATAATAATAACAACAACATTTAGTCTGACTAAAAACTTACAGACCAATTACTGAATTTGGCAAATACTTTTGAACGAGCAATATCTGGTCGATTCCAAGCCATAGTAAGTGACAATTGTTCAGCTGGTGTTAAATTTTGACCCGAAACTACAAAAAATTAATAAAAGAAAGCAAACATTTTAACATTTTCAAAAGTTCACAAAGCATTGAAGATTATTAATTTTTCTTCATTCTTTGTGTTCCAAGTAGAATGAATGGGAATTCCTAAAAAAAGGGTTTTCAATGATAAAATGGCTACCTGAACACTTGATCACAGATCCCGTGAAGGCCAAGCCACCTAAACCAAACAGAATTACCGTCCCGAAAAACTAACGCTCTATATGAGTCGACGATTCAGTGGGAATCAATCAGCAGAAATACTAAGAAACCATTTGTAAAATTCATTGGGGAAAATCTCTACAGTTGAACTTCGACAATAGCGACACTCACAAATAAACCTAAAGAATACGTTGCCATTGCTGGCCTTGACAGTATGCACATATCAGTTCACCTGCTCCCTCAGTATTTACCACCCAAGCGTATTATTAGACATTTAGCATGATGGTTTTATAGAGGGGAAAACGGCCTCCCCCGCCTACAGCTCTTTTCCGGATAGCAGATGAACACCCAAACAAACATCGAAATCATCTGCCGATTACCTGTTAGAATCAAAATTCTTCAAACTGCAAAAGCTAAGGCAGTCTGTACTGTAAAATTCTGAATTCTGTATACAGACATTTGTTCAGACCCTGGGCTTACAATAAACCTGATTTCTTTAAGCCTTTTAGTCAATTTTATTTTGTTTGCTTTTGCACGAATACACTTCTGCCTCCTATGACATTGATCTTGACCTTTTATTCAATTTATGTTCAAATCTACTCAATCCAGTCAATTATGTCACGTCATTCAATCTATTTGAACTTAATTTTGCTTTAATTTCTGCCTGATTAGTGTTTCTGCATTATGTAATTTAGAATCTCGTGATTTTTTTTTATCTAAAACTCAAAATTTTAACGATACATCCTTGGAAACAGTCGTTTTGTTACTACAAGGATGTGTGCAGTTTCATAGCTTGTGACGCACGGGTGGCGCAGAGTTGGGATGCTCGCCAGCCATTCAGGTGGTCCGGGGTTACGTCAACAGCCGACACACTCCATAACCTCGCTTAGCTGGTGATAAGCCAGGCAAAGAGGGAAGGTTTGGCGTGAGACTAGCAATCCTACCCTGTAAAAATAAAACACTAACTGTTACCGAAACTTCAAAGCTCTAGCTTGAAGCCCTATGTTCCCCTGGGAACGTAGAGTGGTAACTCTTCGCTTAACACCCGCTTATTTTTACTGTTTACATCTACGTCATTAGAAGCACTAGATGAATGGTTTTATCGAACGGAGAACTAAGACTAGGATAATGTTTGACAATCGGCAGTTGTACACAAAGAGTATATATACATATATACACTGCAGTCAATCAGCTCACAATGTGATTTACGAGTATGTTGTGAAATTGAAAAACAGTTTGGTGTAAAGACAAGTAACTTTACTCTGGTTTAACTTCCCGTGGTGATTACAGTGAAATGATGCAATGGTGCTAGACAGGAGGGTCTCATACTTCCACCAGTTATTCAGAAGGCATTGGTTCGAGTCCTACCGCCGTCTCGACTTTCATTCCACCTTCAATCATCCATCACCCGCTGCATCTTACATAGTCTTGTTTATACTTATTTTGAACATTCAACAACTTGATAGTACTACTTAAATCAAAACTAATTCAGTAGTATACACACTATTACATTGCATAGAGTTAAAATGTTGAAATATTATGATATAAAAACGAAGGAGAAGCTAGTAAGATGTGCAAAAATACATGCAAAGAGTCTATTCAGTGCTAAACAACACACATGAAGTAACACAAAATCTAAAAGCAAAGTCAAAGGCGAGAAAAAGACAGTGGTAAAAATGACAACATTATTAACAACAACAACAAAAATAAAATCAAAGGGTATACACTTGACAAAGTAAATAAATAAAAATTACAACTTTCAAAACAAATCAGATCAAAGCGATTTAATTTAGTGCAAAGAAGAGAAACAAAGAAAAAATTAGTTAGTGGAATTATAAAGTAATTGTGGTGTTTGCTAAAGTTAAAATGTGAAGCTAAATTACACGTGAAACTGAAATCAGAATTCTATGGACTTCTTTTTCATTCTAGGTCAGTATCTAAGTCGACATGTGTGTTATTTTTACTACTGTCTCCTTTAGTTCCTAGAGGAACATAGAGATTCAGCCGCACGTCTCCATTACGTTCGGTTCTCTGCCGACGTTTTCGCCTGGCTCCAAGTCTGCCAACATGCTTTCATCTCCTCATAGCATGACCTCCTCCTAGATGTCACCCTCGCACTGACGGCCAACTCGCCACCTCCCATTTGGATTCCACTCGAGTGATGGCCTGGCGTGTGATGTCACTTGATGGTTTGTTCTGTCAGAGGATGGCTAATCCCCCTCCATTTCTTCCTGCATATTTGTTGCACAATTGGTTCCTGGTTGGTTCGCTCCCTGTTACCGGTCTTTTCTGGCCATCTTATCTTGAGTAGTATTGAGCGAAGGTCTGTAGTTTGTTCGAAGTGCCCTTCGTGACGCTCTGGTCAAGTCACTGATCCTTATAGTAGCGCTGACTTCAAGTTGAACTTGAAAATCCGGATCTTATTTTTCCTTCTGAGCGCTGTTCGGTAGGTTTTAATTTTACTTAGACTATCATGTACTCCTCCTACCACCTGCTTACCAAAAATGTGGATTCCATGATGTCACACTCACTTCTCAATCAAATATGCCTATTACAATTCTCACTTTACTTTTCCAGAAGTGAAGAATAAATAAATTACATATTGTTGCTAAACCCGTCTGACGATAGTTATCTAAGTTCATTTTCTCGTGTTAAGTGGTTTAATATGGTCAGCAATAATAATTTTGGGCGTGTAGTGGAAAGTCAGTCACTGAGGTTGAGATGCAGTGTCGACTAAGATACCCGTGGCGTGTGTTACGTATGTTGAGAAATGTTTGAGCTAGTTTGAGCCACACAAGCAGGTAACGACCACCTGGTTGGGGTCCGAGAAAGGTTAAGAATCAGTAGCTGGTGAGAAATACACATATGTGAATTTAGTTCTCTTTAGTGTCTGAGAAACCGTATCTATTGCATACTTCGCATACTTTTATAGCTCATGTGTTTTTTTATGTGAGTGAGAAAATGAAAACATATTTTAACTTGAAATTTTCCGTCACATGTGAATGAGATTTGTGGGTGTCCTTGAATGAATTACTCTGATATCTCAAGTCAGTCTATGACAATAAATTCACATACTAATACACCTAAAAGTTTTTAATAACTAATCATGGGCAAAGAAGTGTGTTTAATACACTTGGGTAGACAGAAGATTTTGGGTACTTCAGCATTGGTGTAGTCTACGGATGGTAATTTGGCAGACAACGACTTCAATCTTGGTGTTCCTCTCAGCAACCCCCCCCCCCCATGATAGCCATTGTTTAAGAACTGTATATAATGGTTTGTCAAGAACACACTTGCAGCACATTCCAGAACATTGTAGTGTAGAGGATGTACGAGGTTTCTCTTCCCTCCAATAGGTACCGAACTGTACGTTAAGTGGTTTAGCGATTTCAGCATATCCAGTAAACGCCACAAACATGCTGCAGTTTTATAGACTTCCGGAAGACTACATAAACGAGGAATGTTTGAATCGGTTCAATGGTGGAATGGTAGTCAGTAACGCAGAAGGACTGCATTCGATTTCTGACATCCCGCGTAGTTTACTAACCGGTAGTAAGCATAAAAAAGACGGGTCGGTTCATCGAGAATAAATCATTAGAGAGATACAATCGTTAGCGTATAATTCATAATTCAAAAGATTCCAAGTGACGAGAGGCTAAAATTGAAACTGCATTTTATTGCATAGTCGATAGAGATCTAGACAACAGTCGTAGGTTCAAATCCTTCGAGTTGAATTTATGTGAACAGTGCCATGAGACAACCAGCTATACAGGCAAGGTGTGTTTCTAAATACAAAACAAGTACTGCAAGAGAAAATTAGTTAACCAAAGTCCAACTGTAAAACGAGATAATCAAACATGCCCTGGATGAAAAACTTCCACCAGAACAGGCTGGATTCAGGAGAAACAAGTCATGCATTGATCAGATCGCCACATTACGGATCATCATTGAACAAAGCTTGGAATGGCAGTCACCTCTCTATCTCAACTTCATCGACTTTGAAAAGGCCTTCGACAGCGTCGATCGAGAGGTGATTTGAAAACTACTACGCTACTACGGGGTGCAACCGACAATTATACATCTCATCCAACAGTTGTACGACAATGCTGCATTCCAAGTAATCCACAACGGGAAACTTACGGAGTCCTTCGAAGTAAGGACAGGAGTAAGACAAGCTGGCTGCCTACTAACGCCAATGATTTTCCTGATTGCGATAGACTGGATAATGCGACAAACAGCGGGCAATGAGGAAACAGGCATAAAATGGACTCACACAAAAGAACTTGGAGGGTCTGGACTTCTCCAATGTGATATATGACTGATTTCCCACAAACTGGAAGATATACAAGCGAAAAGCAACAAGTTGGCAGAAGAAGCATCAAAGATAGGACATCGCTTCAGGTGAACATAGAGAAAACAGAGGTGATGAAGATTCCTGGCCAACACCACCAACAGCAACAACAACAGACAACAATCAGCATAAATGGGAGGAACCTGAAAGAAACAACCTCTTTTACCTACCTGGGAAGCATCGTTTCAACTACAGGCGGAACTGACGAGGATATCAAAGCAAGAATCGGAAAAGCAAGACAAGCTTTCACTACTCTCAAGTCTGTGTGGAGGTCAACAGCACTCAGCATCAAAAATAAGACCCAGATTTTCAACTCCAATGTGAAGTCAGTCAGTGCTACTATACGGATCAGAGAATTGCACTGCGCGTCATAAAGAGCATCTCAAACAAACTACAGATCTTCATTAACAGTTGTCTTCACTCAATACTCAAGATCAGATGGCCGGCCAGAAAAGATCAGCAACAGAGATCTCTAGGAGCAAACCAACACAGCAGGAACCGATTGTGAAACAAATAGGCAGGAAGAAATGGATATGGATTGGCTGGCCATACTCTGAGGAAACAAGCCATCAAGTGACATCACTAGACAAGCCCTTGAGTGGAACCCGAAAGGGAGGTGGCGAGTTGGTCGTCAGTGCAAGGGTGACTTGGAGGAGATCATGTGAAGAGGAGATGAAAGCGTGTGGGCAGACATGGAGCCAGGTGAAGAATCTAGCAGAAAACCGAACGCAATGGAGACGCACGGCTGAAGCCCTATGTTCCTATAGGAAACAATTGTAAAAGGTAGCTTAGAATCAAGGGGAATGTTCCCGACGAGATGGAATCAAAAGCTCTGTCCAGAATAATCACACACCAAGGATTCCTGCAGACAGTCCCGGGCCATAATGACCTTGATTCATTTCACATATACCTATATCGTTAAACAACATATTGCTGATGTACACACAGCCACATATATAATTCTTTAAATATTCCCATTATTAATATTAGAACAAGAGATATAAACAAACAATATTGTTTTCAGTTAGATCTTCTTCAGGCTTAGCTCTAATTTACATAGATTTAAATATAAAAATTTTAACCAATGACGGTGATTTTGTGGATCAAATCATAGTGATAATAATAATGTGGCAAATGTTTTCAACGTCAGTAATAACGATAATTATAATGCTAACAAAATAATGGCAATAAGGTTCACGCAGGTGGCGATAAGAATAACGAAGGTAGTAATGTATATGTGTATATGTAGACAATTCAATAAATAAATTAGGTCAAATCCTAAAAGTTACCTAATACTAAAGGTGAAGTGGACAGATTGATAATCAAAGTTTAAATAAATATCATAAAAGTACGAAGGAGATGCAAAATAAGAAAGGGTGCGTGGGAGGGTTTTGATTAGAATTCACCTAGGCAAGCAAGGGAGAGACAAAGGCAGAACAAACTTCTTTTGTTGTATGCAAAGACACTAAAATTGTTCTCTCGAATTAATTCCCATAGCTTCGGCTATGTGTAAAAGGCGGAGGATATTCTGAATTTTCATAGCCAACTGATGTCTAAGATGCCAAAGAGCGCTATTCTTTATTTTGAAATACACAATATTCCTTTAAAAAGATTTCCCTTTAATGTCAAGAGTTGGTCGATAAATGACATGGCTTGTTCAAATGAACTATTCAGAAACAAACAAAGAACAGCATAGTACAGAATACAATAGATAGGTATACTATATACTACTGACTGACCGATTTAAGTAGTCGGATACTACTTATTTCAACCAGTAGTCATTGCTAGCTGGATTGTTGAAGTGATCTAAGTGCTGAACAGTCATTTCGCTTAACTGGAGTCGAACTCATCAGTGACGTCCTAGTGTTGACTCAGCTCAGACAGCTCGCTCACTTCAAATCAATGGAATTCTGGTTAGCTACCCGGGTGAACAGATGATACATTGGCTTGGATTCACATTTCAAGGTTGGCTATTAGCCTGTTAGACAGTATAGGTGTACTTCATTCGAAGTAATCAACAAATGATACAGTAGAAGGAATAAAAATATTCATGTACACATAAACACAATCTCAATCTTACCTTGTAAAAGAGCTGTCAGTATAGTGATATCAATCTCATCACTATCACCTTCACCCATTCGAAAAACACTAATCTATAATTTAGTTTCAAGTAATAAAAAAGATAAAAATACAAGAGAAATAAAAAAAATGTGCAATAAAACATGGTGGGAAAAAGAAATCTGGCAATAGTAAAGAATAAAAAAAAAGCGAAAGTCAAACTATCTTGAGCCAACCAATCACATTGCTTAGAATTACAAATGGATGCTTTACCATAATCCTCGTTGCAGTTTTTCATTTCTGATTCAAAGAAGATTGTGAAAAGTATGCATTAGTAATGCTAAGCGATCTGATTGATTGGTTGGTTGGTTGGTTCAGGGTCATTTGAACTTGGTGTCTGTTCTTTACTGTTGCCAGAAATCCTATAATTACATTATCATAGGTATACAACGATTAATGCTTCATATGTATCTTCGAGGTGTATGAATTCTCACCATGAATTAAAACACATCTTTGTTGACAGGTGATAGTTCCAATTACCAAATTCAAAACTAAAGATGGAGAAGGTAGTTTACTTTAGGCTTGTGTATTAAGTCGAAAGGTGACACGATGAAATATATATATGTGTATATACATAGTGTGTGTGTCAGTGGCATAGGGGTTAGGACGCTCGCCGACCATGCACATGGTCCGGGGTTCGATCCCCGGCCGAAGCACTCTATTACCTCGCTAAGCCAGAAATAATGCTGGTGAAGAGGAAAGTTTGGGAATGAGGCTACCAACCCCATCCTGTAAAAATAAACACTGCTACAGAAACTTCAAGCCACTAGCTTGAAGCCCTATGTTCCACTGGGGAACGTGAAGGCAAAAAAATATACATAGTGAGAACTTCATCATGTGCCCGAAGAAACGATCATGCTGAAAAAGCGAATCGAATAGAGACGCATCACACTGATGTGGCGTAATCACTTCTAATTCCTTGAGTTTCAAGTGGAACATGGCGTGCTTCAAGCATTAAAGTTTAGGAAGCGATGCTATTATTCTTTACAGAATAGAATTTCATGCCTGACATCCGACCTTTCTTCATTTATCTCAGGCTTACCATCAGCCAGGAAAGCTTGAGGAGTAAATTGGTCGAGAATCTAGCCCACAACTTCCGGATGGCACTGATACACCAGTGTACATTATGTAACGTTGTGTTAAAAAATATTTCTCGTGGGGGTTAGCACAGAGCATTCTTTTTTATCATTGAGGCACAATAATTTGCTGTTGTGATACCCACGAGTAAAGAGAAAAATAAATTTATTGTCGTTATAGTGAGTTGGGTATCTACATTTCCTACAATCAAGGGGGAATTTGCTAAATATTTTCAGTACAGGTATTCAAGAATAGTTCACTGAAATCTTCAAATGACATTCTGAAATAACAGAGAAGCTCCCGCTGAAGATGTTGTCTTGAAGAATAATGGAAGTTCTGCAATTAAATCAAACGAGTTAAGAGAACACAATCAAATCGTGATCACATGACATTCAAATGAAATGCTTGATCAGTGCTACTGAGTTCTATCAGCATCCTGGAAGTGACATTCAGGGTGCTAAAAGTAAGACTGAAAGAAGAATATTTTCTTTTCAGTAAATTCTTCTCTTCAGGATTTTACAGTTATAAAATAAAATATTTTTTATTACTACAATAATAGTCAGTTATCTGGTGAATACACGTTTTTGAGTAGAATAACAAATGACTTATAAGATGGCAAGGTGATTAGTACTTGTGTGACAAACGCGCCCAACAGACCCCTTAAGGACTAAGCAGCTAGATGTACCTGTATATCACTGAATGATGGTGGTGATGTTCCCACCATAACTTGAACAAGCGCTAAACACTCGCAAATTCTAAATATTATCTACTGGTGGTATTGCGTCACAATAGCTAAAATATAAAGCATTTGTATAAATCGACCTCAGTGTTTTTGTTGTTGTTCGGTGTAGTCAGTAACGACTCATTAGTCATGTTGACTGACAGTAGATATCTTGTCTTAGACAGGTGAACACACTGGTGGTAGTAACAGGAAAGATTACTGGAATGACTAATTCAACAGATTATATCCAAGTTTCAAGTTGTTATCCTTCAAAACAACACACTGAATAGTATAAAGTGTTGATTTGAAGAGATTTCATTGATTACAGGGCTGATATCAATTAGAGAACCATTGAGAGGAAAAAGCAGAGTACAGGACATCTGTTTAGTCCTATTTTGGGACTCCTCATTAGTACGCACCTTTCGGGGTCGGAACCCTATACAGGAAGTTACTTGGGTTTCTAATAAAAAGTCGTAACTAGCGGGGTCCATCAAGTAAGGAAAGTGGACAGTTACTCGCCTGTGACACTGGATGGCAGGTCGGCTAAATAAATGTACATATATATATTTGTCACGAATTGACAGAAGTTGGAATTCATGGACTATTGGATCGGGTCCTAGTGGCTGTGAATGGTCTACGAGGTCACTTTGTAACCTGAAGGCCCTGGGTTCGAGCCCCAATGGGTGCGTACTACTGAAGACGAAATAGCTGTCCAGTACTCCATTGTTTGCCAACAGTTAGCTCATGATCAATCCTGAATAGCAAACATGAGTGGAATAGTAGAAAAAATAAAGCGTAAAACAAGAGTTAAAGTTTCATGCTTAGACGGCGAAATCCACCGAGTAGTAATATCTGGATGACTACACATTTGGGCAGTATCAATTTCATCCTACCACCTGACAGAGAGAATGGTAGTGAAAAAATCTCACAGATTGATTTCAGTAACTTTTTGACGATTCCTTTTTTTGATACACCCTACAGATATAGTCTTATCCAAATGAATACAGTAACTTTATGAATAAAAACTGAAATAATTAACGAAAGAAGGTGTTGAAACTTTTTTTTCTTATTCAGTAGAAAAATAAACAAGAAAAAAAACAATCCACTAATTAGAAATAAACTTTGAGAATAACACGCAACGGAATTCACGAACTTCGTGTGTCAGACTGTAATTCACATTAATTTACACTGTTATTATTATTTTTATCTTAGCATAGGAAGAAAACAACTAATTACCATGGGAAATAAATAAACAGGTTATAATTTTATATCTAGGTAGCTGTTTTATTATAGTATTGCTATGATTCGCTTAGGTTTCGTGTAGAACATAGGGCTTCAGCTGCACAACACTAAAAATTCACTCGGTTGTCTTCAACTTTTTTAAGTTGCCTTCTTGATTGACTATAAGCTTCCTTTCCCCTCTCACATGATCTCCTCCATGTGCGGTGTTTTGTAAGCCCGACTTGTGATACTATTCAAAGGTTTCCTCAGGGTTTGCCCGATCCAGCTGCACTTCCATGTGTATGTTTATCGGGCGGTAGGTTCTTGGTTGGCTTGCTTCCAGATTATCTTCTTTCTTATCCTTTCTAGCCTTCTGAAATTCAGTACACAGAGAAGGCAGAGGTCGATGAAAGTCTGCAGTAGTCTGTTGTAAATGCTTTTCGAGGAAGCGATAAATCTCTGAATCATATATAGATTTCGACATTGATTTCTAGGCAACGACGGTCCGTTTTACCTTCCCTTTTGACATCTTCATCTGCTCCACTGGTAGTTGAAACGATGCTGACCAGGTAAGTGAAAGAAGTAACATCCTTCGAATGTCTCCCGTTGATAGGCGATTGACGCTAGTTGTTTTTGTTGATTATAGTAATCAGGTACCTTCGTCACCTTTTCTCTTCTCCATGATCACTTGAATTGCCTCTTTCGTTACCTTTTCTGTCAACTGGTTAGATTTCGCATGTAGATCCACGAGTTTGTGCGATATTTTGCACAAAGCATATGCAAAGTTCAGATCTGCAACAGTCTTTCCGACGGTACAAAATCTTGCTCGTTTTCTCGCTTACTGGCATGCACAAAAAATTTTTATTTATTAATTTTTTTGATTACAGCTTGAGACTACACAGTATTTTTCGTAAAAAATATGGAATTTTCAGCATGCGATATCGGTGGCCCACATTTTTCAGACCGACCATTGATATCAGGTGTACGTCGACAGGGGATCGAACCCCCAACCATGTGCATGGTCAGCGAGAGTCCTAACCACCGTGCCACCGACGCAGAAGACAACAGTGACTTTATCATACACTAATACACATATGTGTGGTTTGTGATTTATCATCAGTAGTATATTTACACAACAAAGAAATATGTAAGAAAAGTGTAAGGGGGTGGGGTGGGTTGGGGGTATAGAAATTTCACACCAACTTACTAAATGTCGACATTTCATGCATAATTTCATTTCACTGTACAATCCTTCCGCTTCAAAACGTCGAATTTGAAATGCTCGAGATATGCTTGCAACCATTTGATCACGTAGTTGTGTGCTAAGGTCTCTACATCGATAAAAACAATGAAAACATTATATATTTATTATACCAGTATCGGCATTGGAATAACATGGAGATTTTATAACTTCTCATGGTGGCCTAAGATGTGGTTAATATCATTTACTTAATAATGCTGTTTAGCAGTAGAATTAGGAATATATGCCACGAAACCTATCACAAAAACAGGAAAAATTGATAATTGATGCTTACTTCACAAACCATTACTTCCATGAATCAATCCTAATAAGGCGATTGCTGACAAACTCACAGAAAGGATAAAAAAGGCTCATGTGGTGTTTGCCAACTAACGTGTGTGCACGTGATATCTGGTAATCGGTCAAAGGTGGTGTATACTTCATAGAAATTCGCTCTGTCCTTCTTAATGTTTGTGAGATATGGCCATTGAAAGTGGAAGATATGGCGAGGCTACTTGTTTTTGGCCATATCTCCCATACTGTGTTTTCACGTATTGCCAGTAATACTGAAGTTAGGCGAAAAAGGTTAGGTCAAGAGGGTAATTCAATCGACCAGTTTGTGAAATTACATCGGTTGACATGCCTGAAACATATTTTGAGCATACCCACTGAGCCATGGCCTGCGTTGACGAGCAGTATGAGTAACGTAAGGTTAGGTTAGAAAGGAGTTAGGGATGGTCGAACCAAGACCTGGCGTAAGTTCATGAATTGCCTGAATGCTGGTTTGAGCTACGTAGGGGGGGGAGCGTATGCTGTCTGAATGAGGTCTCTAGGATGCGAAAAAATAGTTGTTGAAGACAACTGATGAAATAGCTTAAAATCATTCTCAATGATCCAGGGATGCATTCACTATTTATGATCTCACGGTATCACTAAGCCGTCATGTTTTCCTCCCTCACAGAGTTCTTTTAAATCTATTTTTGTCTTTCGTCTAGATTTTTGTGCTACATGAAGTGTGGAAACTTGAACTGTTGTACTTCTGTGCTAAGTTCTATACTGAAACGCCTCAGTTAGTTAGTGCAGACAATTAGCTGCTACTGGATGAACCTCCTGAAGCTTTAATGGGAAGTTGTGGTAAGTGGAGTTCATCATGTCAAGGTAAAGTGAATGACTACTGATGGTACTGGTTGTCAGTTGCTCTATCTCACAAATTGACAAAGTTAGAATTCATGGGCAACTGAACTCCAGTCCAAGTGACTTAATGGTCGACCACCTCAACTAGTAACCTGAAGGATTTGAGTTCGATCCCTGTTGGTGTCACGGATCTACAATGCTGAAAAGCCCCAAACTCTGACGGAACGTATCTAACCAATTTTAGTTTGTGATAATATCAACATTGAGGATAACAGAAATGCTGATGGAGTTATCTAACTTAGTAATGGTGAAATACTCAAAAGCATATGTCGAAGCTGTCTGGACATCAAAGATTTGCCTTGTTGAAAAGATGCGTTTATTATCTTCATTAACTCAGTCAACTTACTGACTAATTCATTGTGAGAAATTTGAGCTATATACCACTATGTGCCAAAAGTATAAACTGTTGCTTGTCAGTTATGAGTAGTATGTTGTCAAGATAATCAAAAATTTGACATTAGTAACTAGTGTGATGTGTCTAGTCCTCTCTTTGATGCAAACTAAATTCTATCAGTCAGGTTGTAATGTGGCCACCATTCTAGGTAGCTCGCCATCCCGCTGATTGCCTCCAACCGTCTAATATCATCAAATCAATGTGCACTGTGAGGACTAGAGGAGAGAGGACTAGACACATCACACTAGTTATTATTATTGTTTCCTTTAGTTCCTAGAGGAACATGGGGCTTCAGCCATGCGTCTCCATTGCGTTCGGTTCTCTGCTAGAGTCTTCACCTGGCTCCAGGTCTGCCCACACGCTTTCATCTCCTCTTCACATGACCTCCTCAAAGTCACCCTTGGACGACCAACTCGCCAGTGCTTTTCGACGCTGACCTCTTCGCCAGTGTTGATTTGTGTCACGGCTTTGCCTTTTATACTTGCAGTGAAGATGTCCTTTGTGTCCTGGTCCTTCAGTTTTTGAGTGTTGAACTTGGCTTGTGGTCTATCTGCAGCTCCTGATTCTCTGAAAGCTTTTAATTTAATTTGGATTGTCCGTTGTACGAGATAGTGGTCTGAGCCAACGTCTGCTCCTCTTCTTAATTTCGGGTCCAGCAGGCTGCACCTCCACTTCCTTGAGATTGAGATGAAGTCAATTTGGTTTTTGGTTCGCTCATCTGGTGACACCCATGTAGCCTTGTGGATATCCTTGTGTTTGTATACGCTGCCACCAATCACTAGTTCATTGAAGGCGCAGAATTCGGCGAAGAGTTCTCCATTTTCATTCATTTCTCCGAGAGCTTCTCTCACACAAGTTACTAGTGTCCAATCAAAATACCCAATACAGTCCTACAGGAGGTCAATCGCGAGCCCGAATTGCTCAGTGGTAACGCCTCTGACTGCAGCACCGGGTGACGCGGGTTCCAATCTCAGAAGAGACATGAGTTCCTTCAAGGTTGCAGATCCGCCTTGCTGACTGGTGAGTGCCAGGAAGCACGAAACCTAGGTCCAAGGCTTCCCGCCGATTGCCTTCAACCATCTGATATCATCAAAACGGTTGTATTTACGTAATATTATGTATGCATGAAGACATTGGACAAACAAAATAAATAATAATAATAATAGCAACAAAAATAGTACTAATGATGAATAAAAAAAAGTTACCCATCTTCGTTTGCATATCGATGCATAAATGCTAGAAGATCTGCAGCACGACCACTACCATCACAGACAACAACTGGTACTGGATGACGACCTGTGACTAATTCAAACACAGTACGAAATGTTTGAGTTCCACCTTCAAGTAGTACACCGACAATTGGTACACGGGATTTAGATCCTCCTAGTATTGTAGAATAATACAAGAAAGGGAATAAAAATGTTGAGATATCTTCCTGGGTAGGCAGAAAAGGAAGGCTAAAGGTGCTTGTGAATACTATACCTTAGCAATTTGGGGGGGGGGGGAATCCACCGCAAGGAATAAATTCTGTGCAGTGTATGTATGCTAATCTCATGTGATTCATCTGAAAGCAGATGGCAATCACTAAACGGATGGTCTTCCTACCAGGTCGCTTAACAACAAATTCACTCAATTTTTCCAAATTGAAGCAGAATTCAAAATCATTCTGTTTCAAACATTCGATGTTTCAAACTGTCTAGATCCTGATCCTAGACATTGGAATTGCGACAAGCAAGACAACAGAAGAAGTTACACATATCAAATGACTGTATCGAAGATTAGGACTCCATAGAGCTTTTAAGAAACTAACCATTATGGTAAATGAAATGTTTAGTAAACGACAAAGACTACGAAATGGTACCTAGAGAAGTTCCTGTTAATAAACCAGGAAGGAACCTGAAAGAAACAACCTCTTTTACCTACCTAGGAAGCGTCGTTTCAACTACAGGCGGAAGTGACGAGGATATCGAAGCAAGAATCAGGAAAGCAAGACAAGCTTTCACTACTCTCAAGTCTGTGTGGAGGTCAACAGCACTCAGCATCAAATATAAGATCCGGATTTTCAACTCCAATGTGAAGTCAGTCAGTGCTACTATAAGGATCAGAGACTTGGCGCGTCATAAAGAGCATCTCGAATAAACTACAGACCTTCATTAACAGTTGTCTTCGCTCAATACTACTCAAGATCAGATGGCCGGCCGAAAAAGATCAGCAACAGAGATCTCTAGGAGCGAACCAACCAGGAACCGATTGTGCAACAAATAAGCAGGAAGAAACGGAGATGGATTGGTCATACTCTGAGAAAACCATCAAGTGACGTCACTAGACAAGCCATTGCTCGAGTGGAAACCGAAAGGGAAGCGGCGAGTTGGTCATCAGTGCAAGGGTGACTTGGAGGAGGTCATGTGAAGAGGAGATGAAAACGTGTGGGTAGACATGGAGCCAGGTGAAGACTCTAGCAGAGAACAGAACGCAATGGAGACGCACGGCTCAAGCCCTATGTTCCTCTAGGAATTAAAGGAAACAATAACATAATAATAATAACGTAAATAAAAAAGTTTCAACAAGTTGATGGGAGAGAAGAATAGGCCAAAACTGACAATAAAGCTTTATCAACTATCGATGCAAAAAAGTGGGTGGTCAATCTTCTCAGCTAGTAAACTAAGCTAGAGTGATAAAAATTTACTCCAGAAAAGATTGGACTTCAATGTTGTGGCAGTCAGTGATTGAACTAAATTACAAGGATTTTATTCCTCGCATAGATGTGTCAGTGCTTTTCCCTGCAAATAGACAGAAAGTCATAGTCCACGACAGATAAAATTCCATCCTATGATTGATTGTAGACTATAAAAAAATTGAAAGTGATCAGCTGAATTTGTATCGTACTTTGCGATACTTGTCAAGCACACCGTAGGTATTCAGAAGTAAGGCTCTGGTTTGGACAATAAAAAATTGGCTTCTCATTTTAATCGTTTTCCAAAAAAGCAACTTTTTAGTGTCCTTAAGTAAAAAATTGTTCTCTTTTAAGACATTACACTTAGCACAAGGAACAGGATTAGAATTTTTCACAGGAATCTCAATTCGGCGCTCTATGTGATTTAGAGTCTACACTTGATACTGAAATATCAGATGACTGTCCAAAAAAGATAAATAAAAATGAACTCTGATTGAGAGGCATCAGAACCTCGAGGGGAAGTCGAATGAGAAACAACACGTTATACTTCCGAGGGTGACATGAAGAAGATCATTTGAGCAGGAAATGGAAGAGTATGGGTGTAGAGGCGAGGCGTGTGCCCAGTTGAAAGTTATGTCAGAGTACAAAGTATGACAGAAATGTGTCACTGAAGCCCGTCTCTTGTACTGGGAATGCAAGGAACGAATAGGAAGAAGAAGACAAAACTATAAGGTTGTTCAAAGATAACTAATTGTCTTTCTCACTAGTTATTTATGTATACCATGCTACGGCGTACCCCAAATATTCATCAACCTTATTCAACAGCTATACGACAACGGCACATGTCAAGTGATCCACAACGGAAAACTCAGCGAGGCGTTCGGAGTAAACACAGGAGTCCGACAAGGGTGCTTACTATCACCAATGATATACCTAATTGTGGTGGACTGGATTATGCTGCAGACAGTGGGAAACGAGAAGACAGGGATATCCTGGACCGACATGAAGAACCTAGAAGACCTGGATTCCACGCGTGGATGATTTATGTTTGATGTCACACAAAATCGAAGACTTACAAGCGAAAACCGACAAACTGGTCGAAGAAGCAGCCAGAGAAGACAGGACTCCAGGTGAACATAGACAAGACGGAGGTTATGAAAATAACCAACCAACCAACAACAACATCAGCAGCAACATCCAGCGCCAATCACCATCAACGGGAGGGATTTGAAAGAAGTTTCTTCATTCACTTATCTAGGGAACATTGTCTCAACTACAGGAGAAACGAACGAGGATGTCAAATCGAGAATCGGGAAGGTGAGAAACACATTCATCAACCTGAAACCAATCTGGAAATCTTCGTCACTCAGCCTGCATCAACAACAAAATGATTCGGATTTTCAATACAAACGTCAAGTGAGTCAGTTCTTCTATACGGATCAGAAACTTGGCGGCGGGTCACAAAGAATATTTCCAACAGCCTGTTGCAGACCTTTATCAACAACTGTCTTCGCTGTGTACTGAAGATCAGATGGCCGGAAGGAATCACCAACAAGACACTATGGGAACAAACAAAACGTGAACCAATCGCTCAACGAATATGCAGGAGAAAGTGGAGATGGATTGGACACTCGCTGAGGAGGCCGCTGGGCGACATCGCGCGTCAGGCCAGTGCTCGAGTGGAACCCGAAAGGGAAGCGGCGAGTGGTTCGTCGGTGCAAGGGTGACATGGAGGAGATCGTGTGAAGAGGAGCTGAAACAGTATGGATTAACATGGATGCAGGTGAAAAGTACAGCAGAAGACAGAAGCAAGTGGAGACGTGTAGTTGAAGCCCTATGTTCCACTAGGAACCCAAGGGAACAATAATAATAATAATGCTACACTAATTGATTAAGTATACAAGTTAGATAAAGTGTAGAAATAAACACGCTTATCACAATTTGTGCATTATTCAGACAAATAAACAAATGATCACTAACTAAGTCTCTAAAGAGAATAAATAAGGATTAACAATCGGGAATCAAAATGTATAAAATAAAATAGATAATGATTATCATATTATATTAAATGCACACAATCCATTTAATAAATAATTTAGACTAATTCCGAGAATTCCTGAACAGGAATAAACCAGTGAGTAATAAACGATTGGAATTGCTTTAATATTTGAAAAATATATCTATCTAATTTTTATTTGGTATTGTAGAAGTTAATCTGTATTTCCCATTGGTTGATAATGTTCTACAAAAATACTCAGTCCCCGGCACCAAGTAGGGATGTTTCGACAATGTCTAGGGATTATTGTGAATTTATTTCGGTTGATAGTGACTAGAAGTAGAATTCAGTTTGTGCATTTCGTCCTGTTTGGGTTTCGTCAGAAATATGTATCTGCATCTGTAGCGAGCGATGGTGTTCCCATTGAGACTCGAACCCAGAACAAAGCCTTTAAAACGCCAAAGTATTGTCCATTAGGCTACAAGTCGCACTCCATGTGTAACATTTATCTGCTACTATTGTTTAAGCAAACTTGCATTGCACCCGTGGCCCTCTTGGCCTAGTATATAACGTTTGGCGTTTGAAACGATGGGTGCAAGGTTGGAGGCCATCATTCACTGTAAATGCAAGTACATCCAGGTGAAGAGTTCCAAATTGAATGAAATGCGGATCCTCGACTCCACCACTAACCACCATTCAGCAAAATGTCTAATTTTTTGCCTAATTTAATATTTCCAAAGTTTCATGATGATTCTAAAATGGGTTTAATAAAATTAAAAATTCATGATCTACTTTGTGGTGAATTCTGAGAACATCAAGGTGACTACTATGATGAGATACTGTCCTCCTGAAGAGCTGAACTGAAGTACTATAGATTTGAAGGAAAAAAGTTAAGGATGATCTGATCGAAGCATATCATCCATCAAATAAAGGAATTGACTATTGGTTCAGGTATCAATTTCAGATGTAAGTTGTTTAACCGGTTCTTAGGGATGCTGACAGTGTGTTCGGAATATGGTACAAAATTATTTGCAGTTCTGTAGACATGCCCACTCTTTGCAATCATCCACACGCTGGAAATCTTCACTTATTTTCATTAAGCTGTTCTCTCTTCCATGTATAAGTGTCCACTATAGTTTCATCAATACATTCCTTCTCCGTTTCTTTCTCTGGTTTCGTGTGTACTTTTCTATGCTGATAAGGTATTCATTCATAGAGTCAACCAGTAGAGTGATTGTTATAGGCTAACAGAGCATGAAAACCTCACAAGTGAGGGAGATGAACTCAAATAAGCTTATCCACATTAATACATGTGTAAAACTTGGGCACTATGGTAGTAAGTAATTCCATATTAGTTTGTTTATTAGATGTATCACACAGTGAAACAGTCATATTACTTACTGGATGACACAGTTTCGAACAAAATTTATTGTTCATAATCATATCAATTGCAATCACACGACTTTGACACTTGAGTTTTATAGCTTTCTTTGTTCTCTCCTATTTGTCGTATGGGTAGTAGAATTTTCCAGATATCTGGGTGGACAGGTGATGAATCATTCCTATTACATGTATTTGTAGTTGATTCGATAAACAAAGCTTCTGTTATCAATCTCTCCCTATACCCTGTGACATTAGATTTTAAAACCGTCATCCTATCCCATCCTATTGTATGGTTGTGTGTAACTGCGTGTAGTGCTATAGCTGAACTAT